AGCATCTTTATTGTTGAAAATATTATAGATGTCTCCTTTTTGTTCCCACTGATCCCCTCCACCCCACATCCATCCCACCCCGCATCCATCCCATCCCCGGGCCTTCCCCAGACCAGTTTCTGTGTCCATGGGTTATGCTTATAAACATATAAGTTCTTCGATTAATCTCTCCCCACCCACTTCCCCCTCCTCACCTTCCCTCTGAGATCCTTCAGCCTGTTCCATGCTTCTATGTCCCTGGATCCATTTTGTTCATCAGTTTATTTTGTTTATTATATTCCACATATAAGTGAGATCATGTGGTACTTTCTTTCTCTGATTGGTTTATTTCACTTAGCATAATACTCTCCAGGTCTATCCATGCTGTCCCAAAGGGTACGAGATCCTTCTTTTTAACAGCTGCATAGTTTTCCATGGTGTAAATGTCCCACAGCTTTTTTATCCACTCATCTACTGATGGGCACTTGGGCTGTTTCCAGATCTTAGCTATTGTAAATTGCGCTGCTATGAACATAGGGGTGCATAAGATCTTTGTGATTGGTGTTTGGGTTTCTTAGGATATATTCCTAGAAGTGGAATCACTGGGTCAAATGGCATGTCCATTTTTAATCTTTTGAGGAAACTCCATACTGCTTTCCATAGTGGCTGCATCAGTCTGCATTCCCACCAGCAGTGTACTCGGGTGCCCTTTTCTCCACACCCTCGCCAACACTTGTAGTTCGTTAACTTGTTGATGGTAGTCATTTTGACAGGTGTGGCATGATACCTCATTGTGGTTTTAATTTGCATCTCTCCAATGATTAGTGATGTTGAGCGTTTTTTCATATGTCTCTTGGCCATCTGTATGTTGTCTTTGGAGAAGTGTCTATTTTAGGTCCTTTGCCCATTTTTTAATTGGATTGTTTGTCGTCCTTTTGTTAAGTTGTATGAGTTCCTTATATATTTTGGAAATTAACCCTTTATCAGATGTGTTGTTGGCAAATATGTTCTCCCATACACTGGGCTCCCTTTTCGTTTTGTTGATGGTTTCTTTTGCTGTGCAGAAGCTTTTTACTTTGATATAGTCTCATTTGTTTATTTTCTCTTTCATTTCTCTTGCCCTAGAAGATGTATCAGCAAACATATTGCTAGGAGAGGTGTCTGAGATTTTGCTGCCTATGTTNCCCTGTCTTATTTCTGTTCTTAGGGGAAATGGTTTTAGTTTTTGTCCATTGAGTGTGATGTTGGCTGTAGGTTTGTCATATATGGCCTTTATTATGTTGAGGTATGATCCCTCTATTCCTACTTTGCTGAGAGTTTTTATAAAAAATGGGTGTTGGATTTTGTCGAATGCTTTTTCTGCATCTATTGATATGATCATGTGATTGTCTTTCAGTTTGTTTATGTGATGTATCACGTTTATTCATTTGCAAATATTGTACCAGCCTTGCATCCCTGGAATAAATCCCACTTGGTCACGGTGAATGATCTTTTTAACATATTGCTGGATCCGATATGCTAATATTTANGATCTGTATGTCTGTTCTTGTGCCAGTACCAGGCTATTTTGATTACAGTGACTTTGTAGTGTAACTTGATATCTGATACTGTGATCCCTCTAACTTTGTTCTTCTTTCTCAAGATTGCCATGGCTATTCGGGGTGTTTTTTGATTCCATATAAATTTTCGAAGTGTTTGTTCTAGATTCGTGAAATATGCTGTTGGTATTTTAATAGGGATTGCATTGAATTTATAGATTGCTTTGGGTAGTATGAACATTTAAATGATGTTAATTCTTCCAGTCCATGAACATGGTATATTTTTCCATTTGTTTATATCTTTATTTCTTTTTCCAGTGTCCTGTAGTTTTCCAAGTACAGGTATTTTTTATCTTTGGTTAAGTATATTCCTAGTTATCTTATTTTTTTAATTGCAGCGATAAATGGGATTTTTTTTAGTTTCTCTTTCTGAGAGTTCATTATTGGTGTATAAAAATGCCATTGATTTCTGCATGTTAATTTTGTATCCTGCTACCTTGCTGAATTCATTTATTAAATCTAGTAGTTTTTTGGCGGAGTCTTTAGGATTTTCTATGTACAATATCATGTCATCTGCAAATAATGACAGTTTTGTTTCCTCCTTTCCAATTTGGATCCCTTTTATGTTTTCTTCTTGTCTGATTGCTGTGGCTAGGACTTCCAATACTATGTTGAATAAGAGTGGTGAAAGTGGACACCCCTGTCTTATTTCTGTTCTTAGGGGAAATGGTTTTAGTTTTTGCCCATTGAGTGTGATGTTGGCTGTAGGTTTGTCATATATGGCCTTTATTATGTTGAGGTATGATCCCTCTATTCCTACTTTGCTGAGAGTTTTTATAAAAAATGGGTGTTGGATTTTGTCGAATGCTTTTTCTGCATCTATTGATATGATCATGTGATTGTCTTTCAGTTTGTTTATGTGATGTATCACGTTTATTCATTTGCAAATATTGTACCAGCCTTGCATCCCTGGAATAAATCCCACTTGGTCACGGTGAATGATCTTTTTAACATATTGCTGGATCCGATATGCTAATATTTAGTTGAGGATTTTAGCATCTATGTTCATCAGGGATATTGACCTGTAATTCTCTTTCTTTGTAGTGTCTTTATCTGGGTTTGGAATTAGGCTGATGCTGACCTCGTATAAACAGTTTGGAAGTGTTCCTTTCTCTTGGATTTTTTGAAATAGTTTGAGGAGGATAGGTATTAATTCTTCTTTGAGTGTTTAGTAAAACTCCCCTACCTATGAAGCCATCTGGGCCAGGGCTGGGAGCCCTTTGATTACTGCTTCAATTTCATCAGCAGTTATCGGCCTATTTAGACTTTCTGACTCTTCCTAATTGAGTTTTGGAAGGTTGTATTTTTCTAGGAATTTATCCATTTCATCCAGTTTCCAGCTTGGTGGCATATAGTTAGTTATTCATAGTATTTTCTTACAGTCCTTTGTATTTCTGTTGGGTCCATTGTTATTTCACCACCTTCATTTCTGACTTTGTTTATTTGGGTCTTCGTCTTTGTTTCTTGGCGAGTCTGGCTAAAGGTTCATCAATCTTGTTTATATTTTCAAAGAGCCAGCTCTTGGTTTCATTGATATTTTGTATCATTTTTTCAGTATCTATGTCATTTATTTCTGCTCTGATATTATTTTTCTTTCTAATTACTTTGGGCTTTTCTTGTTCTCTTTCTAAGTTTTTAAGTTGTAGGGTTAGAGAGTCTATTAGAAGTTTTTCTTGTTTTTTGAGGTAGGCTTATAGTGCTGTGAACTTCCCTCTCAGGATTGCTTTCATTGTGTCCCATAGATTTGGAGTTGTTGTGTGTTCATTTTCATTTGTTTCCAGGAAGTTTTTTATTTCTTTCTTGATCTCTTTGGCAACCCATTCATTGTTTAAAAACATGCTTTTCGACCTCCATTTGTTTAAATGTCTTTTAGTGTTTTTATTGTAGTTCATTTCTAATTTCATGCCACTGTGATCCGAGAAGATGCTTGATATTTCAGTCTTCCTGAACTTGTAGAGACTTGTTTTGTGTCCTAACATGTGATCTGTCTTTGAGAATGTCCCGTGTGCAGTTGAGAAGAATGTATATTTTGCAGCTTTGGAGTAGAATGTTCTGTAAATGTCAATTAAATCCATCTGATCTAGTGTGTCCTTTAGGGTCACTGTTTCCTTGTTGATTTTTTGTTTGGAAGACTTATCCAGTGTAGCCAGTGGGGTGTTAAAGTCCCCTAGTATGACTGCATTGCTGTTGATCTCTCCCTTAAAGTCCTCTAGAAGTATTTTTTATAAATTTAGGTACTCCTATATTGGGTGCATATATATTAATCAGGGTTATATCCTCTTGTTGGATTGATCCTTTAGTATTATGTAATGACCTTTCTTGTCTCTCATTATGATCTTCATTTTGAAGTCTATTTTGTCAGACAAATATTGCTACCCCAGCNGTCCCATAGATTTGGAGTTGTTGTGTGTTCATTTTCATTTGTTTCCAGGAAGTTTTTTATTTCTTTCTTGATCTCTTTGGCAACCCATTCATTGTTTAAAAACATGCTTTTCGACCTCCATTTGTTTAAATGTCTTTTAGTGTTTTTATTGTAGTTCATTTCTAATTTCATGCCACTGTGATCCGAGAAGATGCTTGATATTTCAGTCTTCCTGAACTTGTAGAGACTTGTTTTGTGTCCTAACATGTGATCTGTCTTTGAGAATGTCCCGTGTGCAGTTGAGAAGAATGTATATTTTGCAGCTTTGGAGTAGAATGTTCTGTAAATGTCAATTAAATCCATCTGATCTAGTGTGTCCTTTAGGGTCACTGTTTCCTTGTTGATTTTTTGTTTGGAAGACTTATCCAGTGTAGCCAGTGGGGTGTTAAAGTCCCCTAGTATGACTGCATTGCTGTTGATCTCTCCCTTAAAGTCCTCTAGAAGTATTTTTTATAAATTTAGGTACTCCTATATTGGGTGCATATATATTAATCAGGGTTATATCCTCTTGTTGGATTGATCCTTTAGTATTATGTAATGACCTTTCTTGTCTCTCATTATGATCTTCATTTTGAAGTCTATTTTGTCAGACAAATATTGCTACCCCAGCTTTTTTTCATTCCCATTTGCATGGAAAATTTTTTTCCATCCCTTCACTCTCATCCTGTGTGAGTCTTTTGTTCTGAGGCAGGTCTCTTGTAGACAGCATATATTAGGGTCATGTTTTCTTATCCATTCAGCCACCCTATATCTTTTTCTTAGGGCATTTAATCCATTTACATTTAAGATTATTATTGAAAGATACTTACCTATTGCCATTTCGTTTCTTTATGCTTATGTTTCTCATTATCTTTATTTCTACTTCTAATTATATCTGTCCCTTTAACGTTTCTCATAATGCTGTTTTTGTAGTGATAATGTCTCTTAGCCTTTTTTTTTTTTGTGTCTGGGAAGCTCTTTATTTCACCATCTATCTTGAATGATAGTCTTGCTGGATAGAGTAGTCTTGGTTTCAGATCCCTGTTTTGCATTACCTTGAATACTTCATGCCATTCCCTTCTGGCCTGTAGAGTTTCTGAGAAGTCAGCTGAAAGCCTTATGGGAGCACCTTTGTAGATAATAGATTGCTTTTCTCTAGCTTCCTTTAAGATTCTCTCTTTGTCTTGAATTCCTGGCATTTTAATTATGATGTGTCTGGGAATGGGCCTCTCTGGATTCTTCTTGCTTGGGACTCTCTGTGCCTCCTGAACTTGTGTGACTTTTTCCTTGACCAGGTTAGGGAAGTTTTCTGCCATTATTTCGTCAAACAGGTTCTCTAACCCTTGCTTACTTTCTATGTCTTCTGGCACTCCTATAATGCAAATATTGTTACATTTCGTATTGTCCCAAAGCTCCTTTACTGTCTTCCTGTTTTTTAATTGTTTTTTTTGGGGGGGTCTCTGATTGAGTTATTGTTTCTATCTTGTCTTCTGATTCACNTATTTCACCATCTATCTTGAATGATAGTCTTGCTGGATAGAGTAGTCTTGGTTTCAGATCCCTGTTTTGCATTACCTTGAATACTTCATGCCATTCCCTTCTGGCCTGTAGAGTTTCTGAGAAGTCAGCTGAAAGCCTTATGGGAGCACCTTTGTAGATAATAGATTGCTTTTCTCTAGCTTCCTTTAAGATTCTCTCTTTGTCTTGAATTCCTGGCATTTTAATTATGATGTGTCTGGGAATGGGCCTCTCTGGATTCTTCTTGCTTGGGACTCTCTGTGCCTCCTGAACTTGTGTGACTTTTTCCTTGACCAGGTTAGGGAAGTTTTCTGCCATTATTTCGTCAAACAGGTTCTCTAACCCTTGCTTACTTTCTATGTCTTCTGGCACTCCTATAATGCAAATATTGTTACATTTCGTATTGTCCCAAAGCTCCTTTACTGTCTTCCTGTTTTTTAATTGTTTTTTTTGGGGGGGTCTCTGATTGAGTTATTGTTTCTATCTTGTCTTCTGATTCACTGATCCAATCCTCAGCTTCCTCTAATCTGCTGTTTATTTCTTCCAGTGTATTCTTTATTTCTGCTATGTCATTCTTCATTGCCTTCATAGTTTCCATATCTTTTTTCATGCTGTTGAGCATCCTTACAATCAGTATTCTGAACTCTATATCTGAGAGATTGCTTATCTCCGTTTCATTTAGTTCTTTTTCTGGAGACTTCTCTTGTTCTTTCCTTTGGGGCTCGTTTTTCTGTCTCCCCATTTTGGCTACCTTTTTGGGTTGTTTCTGTGTATTAGGTAGATCTGCTAGGACCCTCAGTCTTTTTGGAGGGTCTCTGGTACAGGCCAATGTCAGATGCAGTTTGTGGCTGGCCCTGAGTACCCTGTTTGGAGCTATCATCAACCCCAGGCTTGAGGTCTCCTCTGCCGGGGCTGGGTGCATTTGGACAGGACCAATATGCACACCTAAGTCTGCTTTTCCAAGGCCCAGGTCCCGAAGCAGATCAGGCAAAGACTCAAAGCACCCTGAGGTCTGCCTCTGCCTGCAGCTGATTAATCTGATTCTCTTAATGAGCCTCAGGCTGTAGAAACTACTCTGGGCAGGACTTTATTAGATTTTTGTTAATAAGGATGCATTCTCCAGTTCAAAATTTCCAGTTTAGGCTGACTCTCAATTTTATATTGTACATTGTTCCCATGTGAAATTTAAGGCACTGTCCTTAGAGGAATATGTTAAGCAGGTGGTGCCATTAGTCCTGGTAGTTGTGTATAGCTGAGACCTGGGAAATTGCTATGTAGTTTGAAACATGTTATCTTCAGGTGTTATATTAGTCAGTAGTATATTACATGAGCAGTGAGACCTGATGATTAAGTTATGGTGTGTGAGGCCCCTTTCGTAAGCATATAGGTAAGTTCTTCACAACTATATGACATGTAAGTATGTCATTTTATAATCTGGCTTCACACTACTCATTCTTCCTGCTTTCCCATCACTCACTTCTTCAACAAGCCTTTATTCTGCTCAGGTTTAACATCTTAATATTTTCAAATATTCATTGCTATGTTTTTATGTGTTCTATTCTCTAGGATTCTCACCCCCCTTTTTCTTGGCATACATGAAGCCCAGCTCAAATACCACCTTTTTTCAAGCTATTGGTAGCTACTGTAGTCTGAATTATTTGCCTTCTCTATTCATCTTTGCTTTCTAAGTACCTAATAAATTGCTTGGTATACAGTAATAAATGAAAAGATTTAAGAGAATTTTATAGTACACGTTGACTCAGTTCACTTAGAAATAAAAATTAAAAGACTTAAGAGGTATATATAGTTCATTTTGGAATTTAAATAACTTTAGAAATCTTGTCAGATGTACTTAGTTATCCATTTGATTAGTTACCATAAACGTGTGGATGATTTGTATTTGATGTATGTTTTGATGTTGGCTTGTGACAGAAACTTAATGAGTTTTATTGTAAAGTTATTATTTGTTTACACAGAGACTGTCCAGCCACACAGATGCAGCAGGAGAAGTACTATTGGAAAGAAAAGGTTGTGCAGGAGTAATAACACTAAACAGACCAAAGGCCCTAAATGCACTGACTCTTAATATGATTCGGCAGATTTATCCACAGCTAAAGGTTTGTAATTTTCTTAAAGCAATTATATGTATTATTTTAAAAGTATATCTTAGTATTACATTTCTGGCATTCTTTCCCATAGAATCATTGGACTATGTGGGATCAGCGCCCAAGCTCCTTTGATTCTTGAGTCTTTAGTGCTTTCCCTATGTAGTTAACCTGAAGCACTCCTAGTGACAGGGAGGTCATTGTCTCATGAGATAGCCCCTTCCACTTCTACATAGCTCTGAGTTTCTTCTTGTGTTCTGCCACTCTTTATTTCTGTGACCTTTTAACTAGTGATACTGGTTCTGCTTCAGGGGTATGAATGTACAAATCTAATCTGCTTCCACCTGATAGCAGCTTTTTGATTTGAAGACAACTTTTTTAACTGCTTGGCCAGCCTTTATTAGAGAAGGTCATAAGCTTTTCTAAGTTAACTGCAGGTGCAGTGGAAAATCATAACTTAAATTTTGACTACTTGTGTTTGAAACTTGGGTTTCTTTTTATTAACTGTGTAGATTGGGAGTGCTAATCACTTTGTATCTCACTTTCCTGAGCTGTGGAATAGGGATGATAATATTTCATAGGATTGTTGTGGAGATGAGTAAAATAGTGTATCTAATACGGTCAGCCACATAGGTGTTATGCACATTCTAGTTCTCCCCTAGTCACCTATTTCTTAATTCTTCATTTGATGAATCTCTCTTCCATTTTGCTGTGTCTGTTTGGAATACTTTATAGTATATCCTTAAGTGTATTAGAGAAATAAGCCACGTATTCCAGCTTAGAATTGGACCAGAATGGAAGAAAAAAGAAACTTCCATGTTAGAATGCTCTATTTCTACTAGTGTAGTCCAGTATTACATTAACCTTTTGGACAACCACAACTGTCCAGCTATATCTCTTCCTTGTGCATTTATATTTTTATTCTCAAGTGTAGAATTTATAGAGCCCCTGTTAATTTTTCTGTCTCTAGTTTACTAATTTTTTATTGGTCCATTGTTCTAGTCTTTTCAGTTTACATTGGCTCTTGATTCTTTCATCCTACTTAATTTTTAGCTGGCCTTACTGACCCCAAAGCACTTTCAGATTTGATCTATGTGTTTTCACTCTGTTATTTACAAATTTGTCAGTAGGATAGAGCCCTGTATCACCACAGTAGAAAGGTTATTGCTCTGTTTATCAACAGTCTTTGGATTGATTTGTTCACCAGATTTCTAAGCTTATGTAACACGTAGTAGTATTAAGCCCCCCCCCTTTTTTTTTACCTTTGTGTAAAAGTTGTCATAGCAAAGATTTCAGATGCCATCACGAAATTTGGATCACAAAATGTATTCATCTAGCAGCTTTTATTGGAATAGCCTCTAATTTATGTCAGAAAAGATGAAGTTAGGATCCATTCTTCTGGATATGCTTTATAAAGGTTATGCTGTATATTATATATGGACATATATTACAGGGTGGGGCTAAAGTATTATATCCATATACTATATGTCTATACACATATATGTATGTATATATTTGTATCTGTGCAAGTGGATATATCTTTAATGTTTGTAGTCATAATGTGCTTATACCATCTTCTTTTTAGAAGTGGGAACAAGATCCCGAAACTTTCCTGATCATGATAAAGGGAGTTGGTGGAAAGGCTTTCTGTGCTGGGGGTGATATCATAGGTAAAAACTTTTTTTCCCCTCACCTAACGCTTTTTCCCCTCAAGAGAACTGATAAAATATTAACAAGTTTCTCTAGTACTTCATAATTTGTGTTACTTTATAGAAATTCTTTTGTTTTAAAGTTAATATATTCTCATGTAGTTAACTTGTCAATTTAAAGATAGGCAGAGCCTTATGTATTGACTTCAGTTTCTTCTGACTGTGAGCTATTTTTGTCTAAAGACCTAACTTTATATTGATATTTGGAAATACAGTTAGAAATTCTAGAATTATTCTAGTTTATGTGAAATAAAGCAGTGGATTTCAATTCCAGGTAATTTAGCTTCTTTAAAGATCATAGTTCAAGACGATAAGTGGGCACTCAGAAAAAATTTTTAAAATGATACGAATGTCATTTAATTTTATTTTATATGAAAATAATTGATAAGAATAAGATTAGAAGGAAATCTAAGAAGAATTTTGAGGTAAAAGAGCTTCAACATGCAATACAATTTATACTACTTTCATTTTAGAATTGGTAAGTAGTGGTAAGGACTGAATAAAAACAATAGATGAGAGTTTTTTGTGGGGCATATATCAGGGAAAGCTTCAAAATGACAAAAGATCTTAAAATTTTCTTTTAAAAACCATGAAAAGAAGTCAAATTTGGAACATTTTAAAGGAAGATATTAGAGTGTTAGAGTGAATTTAAAACTATAAATAGCCTGGCTAGGTGTAGCTCAGCGGTTGAGCATCAACCTAGGATCCAGGAGATTGAGGTTCGATTCCTGGTCAGGGCACATGCCAGGGCTGTGGGCTTGATCCCCAGTAGGGGGACTCTCATCACTGATGTTTTGATCTCACTCTCTCCCTCTCCCTTCCTCTGTCTGAAAATCAATAAAGATATATTTGAAAAAACAAAACAAAAACTATAAATAGTCAACAATTTTTGTGTAACTTTCCCATAACAGAAGAAACACATATATACTATACATTTAATTTGTATTTTAGAAGATAATTCTCAGAGGACTTAAAGACAGGAAAAGGCATATGAGCTTGCAGTATATACGTGGAAGAGAATTGACTGCAGTAAGAATACAGTAGATGTGAGCTTTGGAAAATAGACAATTGAAATAGAAATGAAACCATTTGATAGTATTTATAATTCAGATATTTACTGTGCACATTTTCATTAAGCCAGGCAGTAGTATGCTGTAGCAGCACCTTTGAGAAGATATATTTCCTTTTATATTAATAAATAAGGATATTACTGCTTCATTTACCTCTCTTGCTTCACCTTTTACCTTCTTCCTTCAGTCTTTTAAACTACTTATTTCTTGATTTTATTCTTTCTTGCCTATGTGCCTTTGTAGGTACTCCTTTCTCTACTCAAAACTTTTCCCCCCGTCACTTTCTAGGAAATCCCTATCTATTGTTCAAACTTGGCTCAGACTGTGTCTTCTGGGAAGCCTTTTAATTACCCCTCTCCTGCTCACACTCCTACAGTACTCAGCCTTATAGTGTGCATAGCACTAAGACTGTGTTTTAGTAATCTTCTTTCTCATTAGTCTGAACTTCATGTCAGCCATCTTACATTGCTGTCTTGTTAACTACAGCACCCAAAACAGTGCATGATACTTGGTGGATGCTCAATAAATGTTTTGTGGTGGAATGAATGTGGCAGAAATATTTAACTAGATAGAATATATATATTTCTCTGTGTGTGTATGGATAGTATACTTTGTATATATATTACCACCCTGGCCAGGTAGCTCAGTTTGTTAGAGCATCAACCTGATGCGCCAGGGTTGCAAGTTCGATCCTGGTCAGGGCACATACAAGAGTCAACCAATGAATGCATAAACACAATGTTTCTCTCTCTCTCTCCTTCTCTCAAATCGATAAATTAAAAAAAAGATATTACCAAAGGAAATGTATATCCAGCAAATGTTGATTTAGATGCTACTGAAAACAGGAAAAAGAAAGTGCATTTTTTAGCAATATATAACTGCTAATTTAAGTGTAACACTTTGTAAGAAGTTCTTAAGAAATTTTGCCTTGAAGTTTGACATTGGACTATGGATCTGGGGCTAACTATATATAATATGTCTGTGGCATGGGCAACATATTTTTAATTTATGTTAGTTGACTCTATTTGGAAAACACTTTTTTTAAAAATTCATAATCCTTTTTTTTTTTTTTTTTGTAACCATCTCAGAAGTTATAAAGGCAAACAAGAAGATATCTCAAGATTTCTTCAGAGAAGAATATGTGCTAAACAATGCCATTGGTATGTGTGCCTTGCTTAGAGCTTTGAAAATGGAATCAAGAAAAGCAGCACAGTTTGAATTATTAAAAATGTAATCAATAGATACTTTTATTTAATCTTTTATATACTATGTGCCAGGCATAAATAAATTTCATTAAACTATTCTGACTGCTCATTCCAAAACAGTTCACACTTTAATATTAGTAGGCTATACTTACCTTCTATTTGTCATTCAATCAATATGAAAACATGATTCTGATCATATGGCTGGCGTTCTTGGAAAACAAAAAACTTGGGTCCCAGTTTTCTCTGTAAAATGAAGTATCATTTCCTAATTCTTGAAGAACTTTGGGATGAAAATTTCGTTATAGTTGATGTTCCAGATTTCATTGGATGGAAGTGAAGCAGTAGTTTTATGAAGCATGTGTTTCAAATGTTAAATTACAGGAAATAATACAGTAAGTACTTGTGTACCCACCAGCCCAGAATGAACAGACATCAGTATTTTATTTTTGCTTGATGCTTTACAATTTATATAAAAGAAATATAATTCTACAAGTTTTAAAATGGTAGTTCAGGCTGCTTTGCTGCTTTCTTCAGAGCCATTTCTTTCTCTCCCTAGAGGCTACCATTGTTGTTAATTTGTAGTTTCTCCTCCTAGACCATACTCTGTATTTTTAACACATACTTATGAGCAAAAATAGTATTACTTTGTGCTTTTGAAATTTACATAAATACTATTTTACTGTATATATTATTTCCTAAGTTTTTAATAACATGGAATGTAACTGTTGCATAGTATTCAATATTATGAATATATTGCATGTTATTTATTCTGCATTAATGGATATTTGAAATACAATTTTTTTTAGAGTTAGTATAGATTATTATACCTTTATATATATGCTCCCTTCATGACCATGTGCAAAAGTTTCTCTAGAAAATAATAGAAGCAGAATGGGTGGGTCATAGAGTTTATACATCCTCAGTTTGTTTCCAGATTCTTTCCTAAAGTCTAAGACATGATTTTCTACCTGTCCTTTCCATCATTTTTTGTTGGTAAACTTTGCTTGTTTAATATTTTATTGGGGTTTTAATCTATTTCATTGGATAATGGCGAGGTAGGTGTTTTCTTAGGTTAATTGAGCATTTAGATTTTATTTTCAGTTTTATCCTTTGTTCATCTTTCTATTGGGTTTATTGTCTTTCTGACTTTGTAGGTCTTGATGTATTCTGGATTCTTCACTTTTATAGATTATACCTATTACAAGTCCATTTCTCTCAGTCTATTGCTTTAAGTTATCTTTTGGTATATACAGGTTTTTATTTGATGGGATGAAATGTATCCAATCTTTTCCTTTGTGATTTCTGCTTTTTTTGCATTGAAAAAAAGCACTTAACACTGAGGTTATTAAGATGTTCTGTCATAATTTTTTTTAATAGCTTGAATATTTTGTTTCTTTATACTTTAAGTCTTTTAATGTACTTGGGCATTTTTTGCAGATGACATCTAACTTTTATATTCTAGCTAAAAAGCAAGATGTTGCCATATCTTTTATTAAAAAGTGTATGCCTTCCTCACTGACTTTAATGATACTTCTGTCATATATCAAGTTTTTATATATTACTCCGGTCTGTTTCTGGGCTACTTTGTTCATCGATCTATTTGTTTGTACTTATGGTGACACTGCAGTGTCAAAATTATTACAGCTTTAATGTATGTCTTTATGTGCTAGGACAATATGCCCTTGTTTTCTTTTAGAATTTTCTTGGCTGCTCTTCGACTTTTGATCTTCCATACAAATTTTAGAATTATTTTGTCTGAGTCCACAAAATATTCTATTGAGATTTTCATTAGAATGATAATGAATTTTAGATTAATTTGAGGGGAATTAACATCTTTGATATTGACTCTTCCCATCCATGAATGTGGCATATCTCTGTTTATTCATGTAGAAAACTTAAAAATTATTAATTATAAGTTACATATAAAATTCACCCATATAGAGTATATAATTCAGTAATTTATTTTTTAAAATCCTTACCTGAGGATATGCTTTCATTGATTTTTAGAGAGAGGAAGGGGTGGAGAGAGAGGAAAACATCCATCAGTTGCCTTCCATACGTACCCCAGCTGGGAGCAAACCACAACCTTGGTATGTGCCCTAAGTGGGCACAGCCTTCGTTGGCTGTAACTTCCATTCAGCTATTGACTTGAGTTTCATATTTGTTTCTGGCACCTGGGGATTTCCTTGTTTGGCTTTGAACTTGGATATACATTTAAAACTGATTTTTTTTGTAGAATTCCTATATCTTTGAAGGAGGAGTTGGGGGAAGAGGCTGTTTCCCACTTTAGCTCAGTGAGCTAAATTGAATGGACGTTTCTCACTTCTTAAGTCTAAAACTGTACATATAAAATTTACTTACAATGTTATCTTCATTCTAAAAACTTATACCAGCACTGTCCATTAGGACTTCCTGCAATGACGAAAATATTCTGTCTATGCTGCCCAGTATGATATTCACTAGCCACCTGCAGGTAATGAGCACTTGAAATGAGCCTAGTGTGATCAAGAAACTGAAGTTTAAATTTTATTTAATAGTAAGTAACTTAAATCTAAATAGCTGCATTTAGCTAGAGGCTACTGTTTTAGATAATGTAGTTCTATACTAAATAAAAGGAGATGGAAAAAATAGCTCTAAGGGGTTTGAAAAGAGAGTTTGGTAAAATGTTAATGTACAGAGAGAAAGCCTTCAAGGTATATTTCTGTACATTGTAATGACATTTTAGTCAATAAAGAACTTGGCAAACTCTGGCTTTATGTCCTGCATCAATTAGCTTCTAATATTTTATATCTGAAGTATATGTATATATAACTGAAATGGTATGTGTATGTATCTCCATTTTAATCAATGGAGAAATTTCCATAGTTTCTAGGGAATTATAGTTCAAAATTGAGGGCCATGGAAGTCCTTGCAAATATGAAATTAGATTTGTGCTTTGGTGGCCTATTTGGCAAATTGGGAACATTTATAGAATTACTAGATGGATCAAAACTGCAGTTTTATATTGGTTTTTGGTAAGGGAGTAACATAGGCAACAAGCTGTAACAGAAGCTCAGTGATTTACATTTTTGTTATGTTGTGAGCAATTCCCCCTATGGGGGGGTTGGGGAGGTGAAAAAGGAAAGGAACAAAGTAAAATTTTATAGAATTTTTGAGCTGGAAGGGACTTCCGAGGCCACATATTAAGTCTTGTCATGTAAGAGATGAGGAAACTTATCTGTGTATTTTATACATATGATATACACATTATAATATGCATATAACGTGTGTGTGTGTGTGTGTGTGTGTATATACACACATACCCAAATATGTATATTTATTCTAATGCCAGTATATCTATTGAATATAGTTAAATTGCCAGTTAATGACAAGGCTGAGACTATATTCTGGGTCTTCTGACTTCCAGTTTATGCTACACTTCTCTTTGTATCCAGTTACTACTTTAGATGTAAAGAAAACAAATTATGTTCTTTAAATTATAACTGTGTATATAAACATTAGTCGCTTGTAAGGCAATTGTTAATTATAATTCTCAATAGCTGAATTAAAGAAAGCTTTTATTTGTTTCAAATTGAAGTGTTGTTAAATGATAGTGAACAGATGATCAGGATGTTTATGGATTGTCATTTTAAGAACATTTTACAAGCCATACATTTAGTTTACCTTGATACTTCTTGCAAAAATTTCCTTGGGAAAATACTCAAAGTTCATGTAACGTGTGATTTTTTTTTGGGGGGGGGGGAGAATATTTTAAACATTGCAATTAATTACAGCTTTATTTCTTTTAGATTCTTGCCAGAAACCCTATGTTGCACTTATTCATGGAATTACAATGGGTGGGGTAAGTAGACTGTTTTACTCTCGTTGTTACTGTGTGTTATATTAGAAATAAGTTAATTGTTAAACAGAAGTAGGCCCTGGCCAGGTAGGTCAGTTGGTTAAAGCATTGTCCTAATTAGCCAGAATTGCCCTTTTCAGTGACATTTAACCAGCGAGAGAGACTTTCAGCCCGTCTTTTTATTTTGTAAAACTTGTGTCATCAGAGAGATGCAAATTAAAACCACAATGAGGACTCATTCATTCAAAAAGTGTAGGGAGGGAGGATTAAAGATGGTGGCAGACTGAGTGGAAGCTACACTGACACTCTTCCGGGACTAAACTGGAATTACAACTAAAAAATATAGAAAAACATCTTGAATAATCAACTGCAACTGAAGACGAGCTGGAGAGCACCCTCGTAACCAAGGAGGAAAAGTGGAGGCCACATAGAGACTGGTAGGAAGTGTGGATGCAAGAGGGCTGGCTGGGCTCCCACAGGCAGCAGCTGAGGGTCTCGGGAGATCTCAGCTGTGGGGGTTCCCACTGAGGACTCTGGGGCCTAAACCCCAGGCTGGGCTTCCCAGCCCAGAGCACCAGAACTGAGAAAGGTGCCCACATAACCTCTGGCTGTGAAAAGCAGCTGGGTTTTTGTCTGCCAGGGAGAGGTGGCTGGAAATGCAGGCACCCTCTTTAAGAACCAACACACAAGTTTCCTGTGCAGCCACTCACGTTGGGCTCCAGCAGAGGGAGGGCAGAGTGGACAGGAGCTGTGAGAGGAGAACCTAGCATTGTGGGCTCTGGAGATTGGGATCAAAAGGCATCCATTTGGATTCCTATGCCTAGTCATTTCCCCATACATCTTTCTCAGGCAGATAGTTTGCTGCTTTTGCCTGGGGGAGGGAAGCAATTGCCTCACCCTGTTGGAAGGCCTCTTGCCCTACCCAGAGGAGTTTCTACAGCCTGAGGCTCATTAAGAGAATCAGATTAATCAGCTGCAGGCAGAGGCCTCAAAGTGCTTTGAGTCTTTGCCTGACCTGCTTCGGGACCCCAGCCTTANCAGGGTGCTTTGAGTCTTTGCCTGATCTGCTTCGGGACCTGGGCCTTGGAAAAGCAGACTTAGGTGTGCATATTGGTCCTGTCCAAATGCACCCAGCCCCGGCAGAGGAGACCTCAAGCCTGGGGTTGATGATAGCTCCAAACAGGGTACTCAGGGCCAGCCACAAACTGCATCTGACATTGGCCTGTACCAGAGACCCTCCAAAAAGACTGAGGGTCCTAGCAGATCTACCTAATACACAGAAACAACCCAAAAAGGTAGCCAAAATGGGGAGACAGAAAAACGAGCCCCAAAGGAAAGAACAAGAGAAGTCTCCAGAAAAAGAACTAAATGAAACGGAGATAAGCAATCTCTCAGATATAGAGTTCAGAATACTGATTGTAAGGATGCTCAACAGCATGAAAAAAGATATGGAAACTACGAAGGCAATGAAGAATGACATAGCAGAAATAAAGAATACATTGGAAAGAATATACAGCGGATTAGAGGAAGCTGAGGATCAGATCAGCAAATTAGAAGACAAGATAGAAACAATCACTCAATCAGGGATCCAAAAAGAACAAACAAAAAACAGGAGGACATTAAGGGAGCTTTGGGACAACATGAAATATCACAATTTTCACATTATAGGAGTGCCAGAAGACAGAAAGTAAGCAAGGGTTAGAGAACCTGTTTGAAGAAATAATGGCAGAAAACTTCCCTAACCTGGTCAAGGAAAAAGTCACACAAGTTCAGGAGGCACAGAGAGTCCCAAGCAAGAAGAATCCAGAGAGGCCCATTCCCAGACACATCATAATTAAAATGCCAGGAATTCAAGACAAAGAGAGAATCTTAAAGGAAGCTAGAGAAAAGCAATCTGTTACCTACAAAGGTGCTCCCATAAGGTTTTCAGCTGACTTCTCAGAAACTCTACAGGCCAGAAGGGAATGGCATGAAGTATTCAAGGTAATGCAAAACAGGGATCTGAAACCAAGACTACTCTATCCAGCAAGACTATCATTCAAGATAGATGGTGAAATAGCTTTCCAGACCGAAAAAGGCTCAAGGAGTTTATCACCACTAAACTAGCATTGCAGGAAATGTTAAAGGAACTGCTGTAATTAGAAGTAGGAATAGAGAGAGAGAGAAAAACATAGGCATAAAGAATTAAAATGCAATAGATAAGTATAAATAATAATCTTAATGTAAATGGATTAAATGCCCCAATAAAAAGACATGGGGTGGCTGAATGGATAAGAAAACATGACCCAAATATATGCTGTCTACAAGAGACCTGCCTCAGAACAAAAGACTCACACCAGATGAGAGAGTAGGGATGGAAAAAATTTTTCCATGGAAATGAAAAAAAGCTGAGGTAGCAATATTCATATCTGACAAAATAGACTTCAAAATGAATAGCAGCACAATTTACAATAGCTAAGGTCTGGAACCAGCCCAAGTGCCCATCAGTAGATGAATGGTACGTTTGCACCATGGAATACTATGCAGCTCTAAAAAAGCAGGATCTCTTACTCTTTGGGACAGCATGGATGAAACTGGAGAGTATTATGTTAAGTGAAATAAACCAGTCAAGAGAAAGACAAATACCACATGATCTCATTCATATGTGGAATATAATGAATAAAATAAACTGATGACAAAATAGATCCAGAGAGATAGAAGCATGGAACAAGGATCTCAGAGGGAAGACGGGTTGGGGAGTGGGTTGAGAGAGATTAATCAAAGAACTTACATGCTTATATGCATAACCTATGGATACAGACATTGGTATGGGGAAGGCCTGGGGGTGGGGTGGATGTGGGATGGAGGGGATCAGTGGGGAAAAGGGGACATCTGTAATACTTTCAACAATAAAGATAAATTAAAAAGCAAAAACAACTACAAAGACAAAACCCCCCAAAACAAAAAACAACAACCCACTTGTGTTTTAGTAACCATTTTTAAGTTACCTGGTTGGCCCCATTGTATCTGAGTAAAATGATATTGATAATTTTATTTGATGAAATGTATGACTAAGTAAAATGTGTTAATATTCTACTTAAAGCTACTGAAATTTGCTAGAATAGCTTGATTGTGTTTTTATGATGATTGGTTCCACTAACAATACTCAGTGGTTCTGGGTAGTCAGTATTCTATAATGCTGCATCTAGTTTGAAATGAGAGGGATCTGGGGAAGAGGCATGACGCATAACATAAAATACTGAGTGAAAACATCTTAGCTAAAACAAATCTATTCCAGATACAAGGGATACCAATATATTTTTTGCACAGTGAAACCTGAAATTGTGTGATTTAGAGTTTCCCTTCAATCTATCTCCTAAAAGAAATTCCTATGGAATATGAAGATAATTTGCTTGGTTTGTAATACTGTGAGTGTGTGAATTTGTTTTTATTTTTTACAATATTTTAAAATTTTTTGGTCTTATTTTCCTAGGGAGTTGGACTCTCGATTCATGGGCTATTCCGAGTGGCTACCGAAAAGTCTCTCTTTGCAATGCCAGAAACTGCAATAGGTAAAAAAACAAACAAAAACCCACAAAAAACACACACAAAAGAACTCAAAATTTTCATAATTTTAAATCACCTTATTTTGATGTATTTCACATTATACTGTTGTTGAAGAAATTGATGGGACTCTTATGTGAGATACAGCGCTGAAAGAGCTTTTAAAAAGAAATTAAAATAGGAAGATATCTGTTTATATAATTAGCTCAATAAGGATTTCTGAAAACACGAAAGAAAGAATAACTGGAGACACACACTGTAGTTAATTTTAGATAAAATATTATTAGGGGAAAATATTCTTACATTCAGATCTGTGATCTGTTTTGAATTATATTTTGCATATACTGTGAGGTATGACTAAAAGGTACAGATCAAAGTTTATTACTTCACGTATTGAGGTATAGTTGTTCCCACACCATTTTTTTGAAAAAGCTAGCTTCTTCACAAATTGCCTTTGCACCTTATTCTGTGTTGATCTTGGTGCCAGTACCACACTTTCTTTATTGCTGTTGCTTTAGAGTAAGTCTTGAAGACTTCAGATCAGGTAGTGAAAGTTCTCCAATTTTGTTCTCCCCCCCCAAAGTTGTTTTAGCTTTACAGATGTTTTGTATTTCTACATGAATTTTAGAGTGTTAATTAAAAGAGCCTGCTAGGATTCGGATTTGGATTGTCTAGAGTCTATCAATTTAGGGAGAATTGACATCTTACAATATTATTGAGTGAGCTAGTAACATTTCTCCATTTATTTAGGTCTTCTTTAATTTCTTTAAACCAAGTTGTGTAGTTTTCAGTGTATAGGTTTTATACATTCTTTGTCAGATTTATATTTAAGTATTTCATATTGTTTGATACTATTGTAAATGATATTTTTAAAAAAATTCAGTTCTGATTGTTAGTTGCCAATATATAGAAATACAGTTGATTTTTGTATTGACTTTGTATCCTGCGAACTTGTTGAACTCACTTGTTAGTTTTAGTAGAATTTTTGTACATTACATTGGATTTCCTAAATAGATAATTATGTGATTTACAAATAAGGTCAGTTTAACTTTTTTCTTTCCATCCTGGATTTTCTTTTTCTTGCCTTACTACATTGGGTAGACTCTCCAATCCAATGTTGAATAGATCTGTTGAGAATGGACATTCCTGTCTTGTTCTTGATCTTAGGGTAGGAGTGGGGGAATCTTTTTCCTGCCAAGGGCCATTTGGATATTTATAACAGTATTCATGGGCCATACAAAAATATCTACTTAAAAATTAGCCTGCCCGGCCAGGCATGGCTCAGCGATTGAGCATCAACCTAGGATCCAGGAAATTGTGGTTTGATTCCTGGTCAGGGCACATGCCTGGGTTGCAGGCTCAGTCCCCAATTGGGGGAGTGCAGGAGGCAGCTGATCAATGATGAGTCTCTCATCATTGATGTTTCTCTCTCTCTCCCTCTTCCTTCCTCTCTCTGAAATCAGTAAAGATACATTTAAAAAAAAAAAAATGAGCCTGCTATATTTGGTCAAACATTTAATTGAATTTATTGAATTTTGAGTCCCACCTGCTGTTACCTTGGCAGGGCCATATCAAATACAGCCCTCTGGCCGGATATTCCCCACCCATCTTAAGGGAAAACATTCACTTCTTCACCAATTAAATATGATGTTAGGTGTAGGTGTTTCATAGATGCCCTTTATCGGGATGAGGAAGTTACTTTCTATTCCTAGAATGCTAAGGATTTTTATTAGGAATGGATTTTGAATTTTGTCATATTTTTTTCTGTATCTAATGAGATGACCATTGGTTTTTCGTTTTTTTTAGCTTGTTAATGGTTTTTAAAATGCTTGGCAATTTTTGATTGGATTCTAGACATTGTAAACTTTACCTTGTTGGGTGCTGGATATATTGTAGTCTTATAAATGTTCTTTTGTCAATTACTTTGGTTTTTCTAACATTAAATTAACCCCACATTGCTAGGATAAATCTCACTCTGGTATATTGTGTTACACTTTTTATACGTTGTTGGGTTTGATATACTAAAATATAATTTGGAATTTTTGCATCTGTTTTATGAGAGATAATCATCTGTGGTTTTCTTGTAATGTTCTTGCTTCATTTAGGTATCAGGGTTAAGCTGGCTTCATTTTTCTGGAGAATTGGTGTCCTTTTTTTTTTTCTTTGGTAGAATTCAGCAGTGAAACCATCTAGGCCTGGAGTTTTGTTTGTTTTTTTGAAGATTTTTAACTACAAATTCAAAATCTTTAATAGGTGTAGAGCTAGTCAAATTATCTGTTTCTTTTTGCACAAGCTTTGGTAGTTTGAGTCTTTTGAGGAATTTATCCAATTTATTAGCATAAAGTTGTTCATAATATTCCCTTATTATCTTTTTAGTATTTGTAGAATCTTTAGTTATATCTGGCTCATTTTTTAAATTTAATCCTCACCCGAGGACATGCTTATTGATTTTAGAGAGAGGAAAGGAGGGAGAGAGAGAACTATGTGCAAGGGAAACATCGATCATTCGCCTCCCGTAAGCTCCCCTACCAGGAAACAAACCTGAGACCTAGATATGTGTCCTGACCGGGAATTGAACCTGCAGCCTTTTGGTGCCAAGGACAACACCGTAGCCAACTGAGTTACCCAGCAGCCAGGGCAGTTCTGGGTCAATTTTGATTGATTGTCTTATCAAGTCATTATGGGTAGTATTTTCCTACTTTTTAAGATGCCTGGCAATTTTTGATTGAATTCTAAACATTGTAACCTTTTTGTTGGGTGCTGGATATTTTGTATTCTTACAAATATTCTTGAGCTGGCTCCTGGGATGAAGTCAAGTCACTTGCAAACAGTTTGATCCTTTTAAGCCTTGAAAGATTTGGGGTTTTTTAATGGAGGATTGGAGCAGTTGCCTGAGCTAGTGCTAATTATTTTCCTCTTTGTATTCTACTCAGTGCTCCATGAATCATGAGTTTTTCTAGTCAGACTGGTGGGAACAGGCACTATTTCCAGCTTTGTTTGGGCTCACAGTACTCTTCTGTGTAATCTTTTATTTTAATTTTTATTGATTTTTTTTTAGAGAGAGAGGAAGGGAGTGGGGGATAGAGAGAAACATCAGTGCTTTGATTGGTTGCCTCCCATATGCACCCCAATCAGGAACTGAACCAGCAACTTGGGCACGTGCCCTGACTGAGGATCAAACAGGTGACCTTTTTGTGCATGGGATGATGTTCACCCAACTGAGCCACACTGGCCAGGGCTGTGTAATCCTTTTTATGGTTCTTACCCTCACCTCAGGTAGCTTCCTCATACACATGTATTGCTCAGTACCATTGTGATACAAAGTAAAATAAGTTATATTCATCTCTTTCCTTTGAATCATTACTATCTCTTTTTGTTATTTAATTACAGGACTATTCCCTGATGTAGGTGGAGGTTATTTCTTGCCAAGACTTCAAGGAAAACTTGGTTACTTCCTTGCATTAACAGGATTCAGGCTGAAAGGAAGAGATGTGTACAGAACAGGAATTGCTACACACTTTGTAGATTCTGAAAAGGTGATTACTTGGATGATTGCATTTTGTGTTGTTGGAATAACTCATAATACATGGGAGGCAGAATGAGTGGTTGAGATCATAGGCTTTTGGTAGATAATAGGTCTTGGATCTACTGCTTAAAACACTGTGACCTTAGGGAAAATTCTTAAGCTCTCCAGGCTTCAGTTTCCTCATACACAAATGGAGATAATTATACTTGGATTCAGAGCTGTTTTGCCTGGAACCTTCAGTTAATATTTTTAAATGAATAATTACAATCTGTAAAGAAATCTACTTTAAGAAAAGTCTAATATATAAAAATCTCAAGTTATATGTATATATATAAAAGACACACTTTTATTTTATAAAAACACTTTTGAAAGGTTCTCTTGGTTATTAGTTTCCCTGATGCATTTAAAAGTTACATTTACAAAATATGGCCTTAAAAATTTCCTAAAGGATATCTGTTGCAAGGACGTTAACTTGGTTTTTTTAAAAAAGAGTGTTGCCTATTTTCTTAACACAGTAGCAAAGAATATGTAGCCAGCCAGCATAGGTTCAAATCCTGGCTTGCATTTAGCCTCTTTAGCCCCCAATTTTTCCATCTCCAAAATGGGGACAGCAGTTTTACCATAGTAGTTAGAATTACTTGTGTTAAATGTAATAGAAAACCCAATTCAAGGTGATTTTTGCCTCAGAATTCCCAGCAAGAGATTTGGGATTTATTGGGCGTCACCTGGCTTAGCGCACTCTGATTGGACTGATTTATATCACCCCTGAGCCACGTGGGTGAGTGGAATACATTGACTAGCTTATCCTAGCTAATGCTCTACCTCTTTGGAACTGTGGGGTGAACTCAGCTTCTCAGGAAGCATGTAGATCTCCAAACTGAGTATCTGATCTTGAGGGAGGGGTGTTTGGGATAGGGGAAGGAATGTTATGAAAGTGAGTGAAGTGAACAGAGATGAAGGTTGTCCCCTATTCAGTGCTATGAGGGACTTTCATCACCTTTGCTTGAAGTTTCAGATTTTCTTCATGTTACAGCATCCTCAGCCACATTGAGCGTGTAACCATCTCATCCTTCCTGTGAGCTATAACGAAACAGACCTGGGCACTCCGTTATCTACTCTGGGGACACTCTTGATTATAGTGGAATTTAGTGAAGGATGGCAGAGAAAGCTGATGTGCAGGCTTCTCCCTTGTTAGTTTGCCCCGTTGTCATATCTGCAGTGAGTAGATGCCATTCGCAGGGCCTATAGAGAACAACAGAAATGAGTGATACACATTGGGGGTGGGGCTAGATAGAGGTGGGACAAAATATAAACAACCAGCAGTCTCATGTGGCAGAGTAAAGTATGATACGTGTGAAAAGAGAATACAGGACTGAAAGGAAGGGCTTCTAAGAAAGGACTGGAAGTTTCCTCATAGAGCTGCAGTTCAGATGGGTTTTAAGAGGAGCATGGTCGTGAAAAGGCGTTTGGGATAGAGGAAGCATTTAATGAGCAAGCACCCCGGGGCAGGAAGGCATGAGCTATGCTTTGGAAACAGTAAAAAGCCCCATTTGACTGAGCGTAGGGATAGGTATGTGAGGGTGTAAAGGGAGAGTTAAGTGTGGCTGTATTGTAGAGCTGTACATTGACTTTAGTAGCCATTAGTCACGTGATCATTGTTGTTAAAATTAGCATTTATAAATTATAGCTTTGACTGCAATACCACATTTCAAGGGCTCAGTAACCAGAGGGAAACAAAGATGAGTGTCTCTGTTTTTCCTCTTCAGTTCGCCCACCTTCATTCATTCCTTGTGAGGCAACATCTGCTGTGTGGGAAAGTGTGTGCACACTTGAGTGAACATTTCCTTCACTGACTGAGCTGGAGAGAGAGAACATAATTTTAAAACAGGAATTTTAAAAAAATGTAAGATTTCTAAAAAATCGTTTTTGTATTACTGTGGTGTTTCAAATCTGTCCTCCCTGTGTTTTCTTCTACCTTTAGTTGGGCATGTTAGAAGAAGATTTGTTAGCCCTGAAATCTCCTTCAAAAGAAGATATTGCAGATGTCTTAGAAACTTACCACACAAAGGTAACCTCGCCAATAATCTATCCTTAGATTTTAATTCATGGGGAAAGAAAGGTAAGTGATTGAAAAATGGCAGTTGATGAACATTATAGTTTGCTGATGTAAATAAATGTACTGGGATTTATTTACTGCAGAGCTTGATGGGAGATCAGTGCGTCGCAGTTGTTATGTAGCCATCTCAGATGACTGCTGTGCAGCTGTACTGCCTGTGAACGTCAGCGCATGGCCTGTGGTTGGCCCTTGCAGGGGCTCTTCACAGCGCACTGTGACATTTCTGTAGTGGAGGCTCAATTTGATGGTGTTTGTGGAGATGCTAAAGTGAAACTCTGGTATATAACTAAATATAATACAGTATATTGCAGTGTTTACTTTTAAATTACAGTAACACGGTAGAGATAAGTGAACATTTTGGATTTCAGTCCAAAATACCAAATTCTTAAATACCGGATGGGAGAAATGTGGCCTACAATGAATGGCACTGGTTAAAAAAAGTTTTAATGTTTAGTGAAATCAGCCTAATAGGACTGCCCCAAAACTAACCCAGAGTTAGTCCTATTAGTAAAAGCATTGTATCCGAAACAAACACAGATATGTGGGGTCCTGTTGTACTTTGTTACAATTCAGCCATACCTGCAGCTAAGGTGTGTTTCCTATACTTTAAGAATGACCTTGATAAACGAATTTGTGCATAAGAAGGACCTGGATGTGAGGGGGCACAAAACTGCAGTGTGAGAAAAGATTAAGGTCGGAGAGGGATTAACTAGAACTAGAAATATGAGAGAGCTTATTTTTATTTCAGAATTAAAAAAACAATTCTAATTATAGTTGTTCAAGCACTTTTGAGTTTCTTCCTGAGGTACTGTTTTATCATTGGAGGTCAGTGATGCAGGCTGTCAGGGAGGTGGTAGGAATTTTCTTTTTTTTTTGGAATTTTCATGTCACATGGAAATTTGGGCAGGATGACTTCTCAGGTCCCTTACAGTTCTTAAATTTATTGACACACTTTAATGGTAATGTATCTCATATAATGATATGAAAATAAAGACACAGGAACATTTGGTCTTTGACACTGTCAAGTGAGAGTCTGGAATAATACACACTGTCTGAATTTTGAACCTACGGTGGTAGTTATTTATGAGACTATTGGATGTAATATGACTGAAAGTGATAACCTGTCACAGTGTATCGTTAAATATGAAATTATTAGGGATTTTTAAAAGATTTGAGTTACTTAAAATTAACTTAAATATTTTTCCCCCCCAAAAGTCCAAGATTGATCAGGACAAGCCCTTCATACTTGAGGAGCACATGGACAAAATAAACAGGTACTTAAAGAGAGGTCTCAATTATATCTCTTCCTCTGGAAAGTCTATATTAAATGGAATTTGTTAACATTTTAATTATATTGTGTTTGCTAATGCACCTAATTCTGAAATCAGATAGCATAGTGCTTTTATTTTCACTTACCTTTGAAAATAGCTTCTTGTCCACTCTTTTAGGGGAAACAAATCCATTATATTTAAGTAATCTGTCATGCTGACTCATTTTAGTGAAAACCACGTTTTTTTAAAGTGGTAAGAGAGGCGAGAAATAATTGTGTTAATTTACCTATTATCTGTAAAGTCATCTTCTCTGAAGGTCTTATCAAGCCCATTAGCAAATGGTTTTGTGCAGTGATTTGAGAGATTGACAGACTGGCTTCAGGAACACAGGAGGAAAAGTATTGGAAAATAAGACAACTGTCTCTATATTTTAGAAGCATCAATTTTTCACAGTTAAGATATTTTTTTACAAATAGATGCAAGAAATCAAGAGAGAAAATTTAGGCTTTATTTTGAATTACCGAAAGTAGACTGAAAACACCCAGAGAACCAATGTTTTATTTCATCATCCTGTAAAATAGGTTGGAAAAATTTTCATTTTTGAAATGGAGTTTGGGGGAAGCCTGTGTTTAGGTTCATTGCTATCTCAGAAAGAAGAAATCTTACATTGGTGAAATCATGTGTTTCCTTTCTTATAGTTGGTTCTCTGCCAATAATGTGGAACAGATTATTGAAAATTTACAGCAAGATGGTTCATCTTTTGCCCTAGAGCAGTTGAAGGTAATATATGGGTCATTTCTGTCCTGAGCATGTTGAATTCTTGTGATAGGGAAGCCTCACTGAGAGGTGTCAGATTTCCTTGGGGTGACAGCCCCACTGTTTTGTTGTTGTTTTAACTCAGTTGAGACTCAGAAAGCTGTTCCACAAAGCCTTAGCAAAACCCAAGTGCCTTCACCCTGCTGGATGCTGAAGGCAGTGCTAAGCTGTTTTTAGGTCCTTGAGCTATAACAGAGATGGACTTCAGTAAGCATGCTTATCTCCAGTACTTGTCCTGTGGGAAGATATTTAGGGAAACGAGCTGGGCACTCCAGGTGTGACTCCCCCCCCCCCCC